CTGGAATACAAAGACAAAAGTATAAATGAAGGCAAAGAGAAATCAAAATTGCTTGAATTGTGAAACTGCAAAAGAAATAATACATTTATATACTTTAGCTATTCATAATCAATATATTTGTATTGTGGAGTAATTGGTTATGGTTAAGTGTAATTGGCAAAATGCTGAATAAACAGATTTGACAAAGTTTCCAATAAACAATAAAAGGAAGAAAAAGAAACAGGCAAAATAATACTACACAAACGATATATATGCAAGACAAGGTAAAGCAACAGTAATAAGGCAAAATTTCACAGAGTAAGAATGATGTTCACACACAAAAGGGATACAGTCAAGTGATTATAGCGTTCAATATAAGAAAGAACAAATATGGTGGATGAAAACAAGAAGTGGTCAATTTTATTGGTTAGGAAGAAATCCCAGCATGCATCTATAGAATTTCTTGATAAATTTGGGAAAGGAGAATGTCATTTCTGTAAATTGGAACCAACACGTATCTGTTTTATTCCTGGGAGGAAATGTTTTTAATTTTAATGAAAAATTTCAGCTGACTTATTGACAAATTTTGACCAATACTTAGATGTGTGTGTGTTGTGTAATGAAAATGATACAGAATGAGAAATCAGAGAGCCAGGTTCAAATTCCAGTTGGAGTAATTTGTAGTTTAAGCCCCATGCTCAGTTTCTAATAAAAATATCCCAAATAGTTACATCTAGGTGGAAAGAACAAAGAAATTTTGCTAAAATCATCCATTTTGGACTTATCAACAATAAAAGTTTGGACTCATTTGCATTGCAGCTACAGCATGGCAGCCATTAGTAGTATTGTTTACATATGTTTGCCTTGCATAGTCATGTGCCGAAGCTTCATTTGTCTTGATTAATGCACACCCAATGCACAAACTTTGCGCAAAATTTAAAAAGAGCATGATTATTATTAGTTTTATGTTTTATTTTATGTTTTATTTATTATTTTATGTTTTGTTTTGTTTTTATTTTACGTTTTATTTTGTTATCTAACCAAGAATTCATTATTATTACAGCTTTACTATTAAAAAAAAAAAAACAATACTTGTCATTGCTTTTATAAATAACTTAAATTTACCAAAAAAAAAATTCAATACAAGTTTCACTTTCAAAAGTGTCTAGAGATTTCTTTTGGTTTTGCGCAGTAATTGAGATGAGTAAAATCAGTAAAAAGGCTGTTGCTTCTGCGCATGACCACTCTAGGCAAATGTATGAAAACAACATCAGTAATGTCAGATGAACCAAATGTGAATGAGTCCAAACTTTTATTGTCAATAAGTCCAAAATGGTTGATTTTTACAAAATTTCTTTATTTCTTTAATTAAGCATGTAAATTTATACCTAAATGTAGCTATTTGTGATATTTTTATTACAAATTGAGTGTCGGGCTTACACTACAAGTTAACCAATTCCAGTCAGGTTCATTAGTCACTCTTGGGAAAAGTATGAATTCGTCTCTTCCCCTCAAGCCATGGGTTGAATAGTGGGACAAACTGGACCCTATAGCATTGGCTCACAATCAGTGTACTGTGAGAAAATCTTCAGCTTAGTGAGTCATGAATCGAAAGAGACATGATCGTCAAAATGTGTATCACATTTGACTTTGGTTTTTGAACTTCTATGGGTACTCAAGCAACCGATGACCTTAAGCCAGACTAAGAAAAACTGAGTAAATGTTTTGTGAAAATCTACAAAACAAATTTTGCAAAAACTGGCAAAAGAAAAATTTAAAACTATTCCTCTCTGTTTAATATGCAAAAATGATAATTCAAGTTGGCTAAAAACATGAATATTTCCTGTGTAAAATTTGGGTGTGTCAAAAACAGTAATTTCTAAAACAACCATTGACATTTACTAGTTAATTTCATATTATCTAATGCCCTTTTAACTTAGCAACCAATTTTACAAGAAGTCATCATTTAATTATCTTTGATTAATGAAAAAATAAACAAGTAAAATGAAAATATTTTAAAATATTGGAAAACAAAGGAAGAAAATAAACAAAACTGTAAATTGCTCAAGTGACTTTAAATTAAATATTGGCATTTCAGATTAATCTGTTTTTTTTTGGGGGGGGGTCTCTTGAAAAAAAAACAAAAAAACAAAAAAACAGGTGCTCCACCTTGGAGAAGAGATCGATAATGTTATCAATCACTGATCTCCACAGATTGCTTTCCATTTGTTATGTGAATTGCCATGGTTTCTTGAAAAATAGTGGTTTCCTGTTGCCTTCTCCACAGATTTCTCTTCAGAACTGTCTTTCTCCCTTCAAGATGTAGGCTATCATGGCTCTCCATAGCTTTCTTTTCTTTATCTGGGTATTGCCATGACTTCTTGGAAAATGTTATATTCCATGCTAAGGGAATAAATACATAACACCAGGTGGATAATAGGAGAAAGGTTTATTGTCCACAACCAGTACAATATGAAATATAGTACAGTTATACACACAGGTCAATCTAGTGGTGAGTGCCATGAATTGGAAGGTTGGATGTGCTTGTGTCTTATCTCTCTCACTCTTCCTTGAGTCTCTCATAGACAGTTGACTTTATAGGTACTTACTACCTATAGTGTAATCATTCATGGGGGTGAATGGTTATTCCATTACAACAGAAAAGATAGTGGAGTACAATCTCCATGGTTTGGAATTCAGTTTTCCTCTTTAGACTGATAGCTATTCAACCTTAGAAAGCTCAGTTTAGTTGACTATTATGGAGGAAGAAGAGGTAAATTCCTGCCTTTTTCCAAAGGTATTAGTGTGAAAGCAAACCTAACAGATTAGGCTGAAATTTGAATTCAGCATGTCAATTTCACTTTCCATGCAGGTAACCATATCATAGACTATTACTATTGTAGTAAGTTTGATCCTCACCAGGTGGTAGTTGCAGTCATGGATGGTACTAAGCTAAATTTTGTAAATATCTTGGCTTAGATAGTTATACATTTCCTACTGGTAGCAGAGATGTGTGTTCAAGCACAAACTAAGAATTGGGGTTGACACACAAGAGCAAATTCAAATTAATGAACATAGCATTTTGACTTCAAGACAGACCTGAGACAATCTTATTGGCTAGTAAGAAATCCCAGAATGCATCTGTGCAGTTTTGCCTATAAATTGAGGAGGGGAAAATATTTTGCAATCATTCTCAAATAGGATTGGAATAAATCCAGTGAAATAAAATATTTTTTTATCAATTATTAATATACATGGACAAAAAATAAATTTAAAATATATTTCTAAGATTTCCCTAGAATTTTTATACTGAACATGTATAAACATGTGGAATAAGTATTCACACACAGCTAGTATGTAAGAAAAAAACAAAACAAATTTATGCATAACTTCATGAGTGAACCCTTGTCAAGGTTACATATGAGAGTAACAGCTCTTTTTCTGCTTCTGCTTGGGCAAATAATGTACAGAAAATGGTTTGCCTAATACTTCTGTCAACTATTGTGGCATACCAGTAACAAGACATTAAAATATATTGTGATGGGACAGAGTGCAGTTAGAAATGGAACATTAACTGCCTCAGCTATAAAATGCTGAAAATAGTGGTTGGTCAACTTCTATTTCCATACAAGTTACACAACTGCACATAATTTGTACTTTAGTATTTATAATCCCACTGACAGTACTAGGATATGGTTGGATTAATGAAAAGAAAAAAGGTATTAGTAGTTTATATTTAGTTTAGTTGGTAACAATGTGTTAGCTCTGCTACCTTCTGACCGACCTGAAGCAGGCAAATTCTTTATATATCTGGGGCAGAAAAAGAAAATTCACAATGTATTTGTGTCACAAAATTAGGAGGACCTATTTGGCAGGCTCTACATAGACAATAAGTAGCTTCTCAAAATCATGTCATCTTTCAGATGAATAAGCATAGTATGTTTATATTAACGTATTTGATGTATTTACACATTAAGAGGTTTATGCTTACTAATTAAAACATACATGGAAGGTTTAAGGATCAAACTGTACAGGAGTTCAAATTCCAGTCTCACTTCTCACAATTGTTTTTGGAAAGGGCAGGAATCCATCCTTTGTTGCCCCTCTCTCTCATTGGGGGTAAAATAACAAAGTAAACTGGGTTGTCTATCCTTGGTTGGGAACCAGTTTAGGAGAAGGACAATTCAAATCTGTCTGGCATAGTGTTAGACACTCCCTTGTGTAAAACTTGCTAATGAAATCACAGCAGCATCACTTCATGTTGTGCTGTTAAAACACAAGAGTCTGCAGGTTTCAAGAGAATTAAAATATCTCCAGTTCCATGCAAAAGCTCCATTTTCCATGATCCTTCAGAACCTTTACAAAAATATATGAATAATTAGGCATGAAAATGACTCCAATATGTCTGACACTTCATCTGTAGACAGCAAAATAAAAAAAAATAAAAAAAAAAAACATCTGCTTATAACAGAAATTTACAATAGTTTAAAATGGCCTAAGACTTTTTCACAGTACTATATAAATATTATATATGGGAGAACAATACATAAATTTTTATATCTCAACAGTTTTGGAGGAAAGATATATGACAAACTTTTTCCCCTTTGTCTTATATATATATATATATATATATATATATACACATACACACACAAGATGAAATGGATTAAATCTGACAAATATTCTAATATATTTTCTGTTTATACATTATTTTTATGGATACATTTTTTTTTTTAATTAAACAGTATTACATTTATTGGCCTGAATGTTAGAAATTTTGTAGAAAATATGCATTCTCAAACAAGAATTGAACTTTTATCCCATAAGGAAACATCATATAGCCTGACATGCTCTTAATCATTCAGCCATGGAGAACTTTCCAGTTAGCAAAGTCAAAATTACAGTTTATAATAAATTAACTTATATAATATACACACACATAGTAGCAATATTCCACCATCCATTTACTCAAGTTCAGTAAGTATGTCATGTGTTGTTTTTCTGTCTGTCCTGTGTGTATC